CCCCCCCCCCTTTTTTTTTTTTAATATGATCATTTTCTTGAGCTGCACCCCATGAGCTCTCCCTTACCTAATCAAAGTCCTCATGAAGTCTTAACCACTGTAACTGCATGTGGCTATGTGTTTGATCTCTGACGAATGCAAGGCAAGTTGAACTGGATTTAAAATTTATTTGAGCAGTGACCTTGTCTACTATTATATGTGACTGGTTGTTGCCAAAGTACATTCTAAATTACTTCATTGCCCTCCCTGTTAAAGTCTGTACGAAACTTGGCATTTCTCACTTTTACGTTGCAGGCTGCTGGGAAGGGGCTCAATGTTTGTGTTTTCCCCAGAACAATTTCAAAGACTGCTTAAAATAAATCCAGAATGGAAATCCCACAGACTTCTTGATTTAGGGGCTGGGGATGGAGAAGTCACTAAAGTCATGAGTCCTCACTTTGAAGAAATCTATGCCACTGAATTGTCTGAAACTATGATATGGCAGCTTCAAAAGAAGAAATACAGGTATTGTACTGAATGCTTCCTACATCCTTTATGTCAGACGTTACAGCAAAGTCATCTATTTGTAACATTTAATGAATATTCAGTATTTTCAGTCAATTCCTCTACTGTTTGATTATTACAGAAAAGATTGACCTGTACAAAAGCAGGAAAACAAACACATCTGATGTTCCTTCTTACCAATGCTTTTGTTATGTGGATGTTCCCTGTTACCCGTTAAGACAAAATGGGCAACGACCATTGTGAAGTTTCTTTCTTCATAGCTTGCATAAATTGTTTTAATCAAGGGAGTCAGGAGGATGAAATTCAGGTGAAGAGTCTGTTTGAACAGTCCAGAATTGGAAGAGGAAGACACAGGCACTGAAGAGAAAGCAAACTGAATCCTGGTAATAGGGATACCTCAATAATCTGTGTCTATCTAATCCCACAGTATACACAACTGTATAAAGATTGTTTTATTCTTGCTGTTCTTAACTCCTGCTGTTAAGGTTGAATCATGTTTAGTAACAAAAACCTTAGCACTTTCAGAACTTTGTTCATACGCTCAGCGCAGCTCCTGAAGGTTCTTGCAGGCAGCAGATCCAGTCTCGTTGAGTAATGGTTAGTATTTCAGGCCCTATATCCCTAGACTTCAACCCAAGGAATGAAGGAACTGTGGATTTCTCTTCTTCACCTGTCCTTGAGTGGGAGCATAACAGCTACTTTGCAAACGGATTTGCACACTGGTAGATCAGAGTGGATAGAATACAGCAAGCCATTAATCATATTTCAGCTTTGTTATTCCTTGAGAAGCATCTTCTAGGACAACGCATTTTTTTAATACCTGGGGCTTTAGTTTTTGTCTCCTTTATTGCCTGATGATTCTAAAGCAATGTAAAGGTTCGTATGGCTGGATATATATCCATGCCCATTGTTGATCTAGTTTTCTTTTCCAAAAGACCAGAAGGATCATGCCTGTCTCTTCTCATTGCCTAGATGGCTGACCTTACCTGCACTATCAACACATCCACAGGGAATTTTTGTGTTCAGTAGTTCTCTCTGAACTCAGCTTGTGTTTGTTTAACAGACTGTATCTCTTTCTCTTTCCTTTTCTAGGGTGCTTGGTATAAATGAATGGCAAAACACAGGATTTCAGTATGATGTTATCAGCTGTTTGAATTTGCTGGATCGCTGTGATCAACCACTGACTGTATTAAAAGATATTAGAAGTGTACTGGAGCCAACTAGAGGCAGAGTCATTCTAGCACTAGTTCTGCCATTTCACCCATATGTGGAAAATGGTAAGTACACAGATTAATAGCTATTTAGGCAGGTAAATAAAATGTTTGTAGGTTATAGTATCCCAAATTAAATGTTTAATAAATAATTAGCATTCTTGTGTTTTGTTGTTTTACAAATAACTCGTATAGTACATGTTCAGAAGTATGAAATCATAGGTAAATAGGCTACATGATGTAAGCTGTTTTCTTAATTTCCCAACATATGTTGTTGGCATTAACAAAAAGGTCAAATATTAAAGTCCCATATCCTGTTCTGCAGGGTGCCACATTTGAGCTGTGTTGGAGCAACATGGAAAAACTGATCTCTGATTAGGGCTCTCTGCTGCTGTCATATAGGTAACCCCAGTTGTCTAGCAACCAACTGAGCAAAACCATCAGAACTGTCTAATGGTGAATAGAGCAGTTCAGGTCACACTGCTTCCAAGTGTTCCAGGTGAACCACACCTAAAAATTCATGGGGACATAACGTTCGCTTTCCAGCATGAGTTCTCAAAGTGAAATATAGACCCCTACTCATACAAAGTATCAACCACTATTTGTGTTGTATTAGTGATTAGAATAAAAAGGCAAAATTCAGTTCCAAAACTCCCATTATTTCCCCTGGTTGCCTTTTAAAGAAATACATGAGAGATTTTCCTATTAATCTGTCCTTATGACTATACTTCAAAGGAGACTAGAAACTCTTTTTTAGGTGCCTACAACTGTGGATTCAGGTTGAGGCACCCTAAAGATGGTTTGAATTCCAGAAGGCTGGTGGCTGGAAGTCATTGTTTGGACACTGGCTCTCCTTGAGTATTAAGATTTGTCTGTGGAAAGACATGTATGCCCAGAAAATACAGAACTAATAACCTTAACATACTGACAATCACAGATGCATCAAACTGAATCTGTTTTCCTATGTGCCAGTGGTATTTGGGGGGGG